AAAAAAAAAAAAAAAAAAAAAAAGATGAATACTAACAAGGTGCTTGGGAATTCGGATCAGAACCCAGATGTTGGTGACCAATTAAGAGACCACTGCAATCCTCCAGATGTCAGGATCTGAGCCCATCTTAGCTGCAGAAAGGGAAAGGGGTCAGGGAAAAGGGTTTTAGAAGTGACTCCGATTCTAGTTTGGTTAAGCGAGCCGATAGTACTGCTCTTAAGATAAGATAATAACTAAACCAGGAATGGTAGCACATGCCTGTAATCCCAGAAATCAGGAGATTGAGACAGGAGGTTCTCTCAAGTGCCAGCCTGGTATACATAGTGGGATCCTGCTCAAATGCACGCACACACACACAAACACACACGCACACATGCACACGCACACTTACACACACAGGTTTACTGGTGCTCTTTCGAAAGTTGCACAATAATCTGTAGGACCTGGAACAGTTCTAACACTTAGAATACAAGTCAAACAGTAGTTAAAGCTTGGACAAACGGCAGTTAAAGCATATACCATTAGAAACTTTGCTCTTCAATCTCCCTTAGATGTTCACACCCCTGAGACAATGGGTTCCACACATGGTATGGATTTACGGCAATAAACAGCTCCCAAAGGAAAAAGATCACTTGGTAATGAAACTACGCATTCCTTACTAAGGATGGAAAGGGAGGCCTAGACATACTATAGAATGCTTCTCAAGAGAAGCAAACACCTGGTGGTTTTATTTTAATTCAAAGTGAGGATAATAGTTGTATTTCTATTTCTCCTATTAGAATAGTGATTTTTTTTTTTTTAAGAGTCAGACTGGATAAAAAGCAAAAAGTGTTCTTATTGAACACAGTACTTTAAATCTTCTTTGAAAAATGATGTTTAGCCAATCTGATTTCAAAAGCATGACCATTTACTTAATATCTGTGGGAATGAAAGCAAGTAAACTAGAGTAGGAAAAGAACCGATGGTGCACATCTGTAACCCCAGCACACTTGAGGCTTGAGGCAGGAGGATCACTGTGAGTTTGAAGCCAGCCTCGGCAGGGTTCAAGACCAGCCTGAACTACATAGTGAGACCCTGTCTCCAAAAACAAAACAAAAACTGTTTGGTAGCTGACAACAACTACAGGGCCATTTTTCCCCCTTTGTACTCCATGCCATAAGGTTTTTTGGGGAAAGTACCTTCAGAACTTTTTGGATGTACGTGTAGTGCATTCTTCATTCACCTAAAATTGCCCTTTCATTCAGCTCTCAGGGAAAACTGAAAGAGATGACTAAACTACTAGATAAGAAGTAAGCGCGTGCACCATCTGGCTCAGAATTCTGAGGGCAGGAATGCTAGATTAAGGCAATTTACTCTCCGAGACAAAAGTGCTGTGGTCAGGGGTGACATCTCGCCCATCCCCAATTCTCATTCTGAGTCAAGCCCTTGAAAGCAACAGAAAACAATGAATTACTGCACCGATTCCTTCTGGAGGAATCCTGTTCAATTTTCTTTGTAACGTTCTAAAGCTAAGCCCTTGAAAGCAACAGAAAACAATGAATTACTGCACCGATTCCTTCTGGAGGAATCCTGTTCAATTTTCTTTGTAACCTGTTCTAAAGCCAAAGAATTGGCGGGGGGGGGGCTTTCACACTTTTATTTTTCTGCTATACTTTACTATCATTTGAATTCTGAAATATTAAGATAACGCCTTCATGTTACTTAATAAAATAACATGCAGGTAGGGGGGAATCAATGGCCAAACTATCCAAGTGCAACAGGCTGATAGAAAGGGGGCTCTCGGGATCCTAACCCTGACTCCTCCCTCTTCCTGGCCAGGGTGGCTATCGGAAGCGCCCAGGGGTGTGGAGAAGCCCGCTTCTCTCCAACCCTGCGGATGAAGTCACAGGGGCCAGAAGAAAACGCTACCCATGCCTAATCCTCCCGCCATGGCCCTCGCCCGCCATCTCCCGAATTAAGGTTTCAGAAAAAGGTATCGCAATCAGGCAGGGGCGTTTTACTTTCTTTAGAGCATGGAACGAAACAGTCTTGTGAGTCAGTGAAATTAAATCAGCCAAATTAAGTATTTACTGGTCGCCGGGCCTTGGGTCCAGACCCGCGGTGAGTGTGATCTGTTTGCTCCATGCACAGCCCGCCCTCAAATTCTTCGGCCTCGGCAACCCGAGCCCCAGCTCTTCTTCCCTCTCCCTTCACTCCGACCTCGCTTTCCTCCTCCCAGCCCCGGTTACTAGTTTCCACAGCACCCCAGGCCCAGACTCACAAGTCAAGGTCCAGTATGTTCTAGTCACCCGGGTTTTGGTCTACTTAGGGCGAATCACAAGTGGGCTTTCATTTAGGTGAGTTTATATTGGCTAATCAGTGAAGCTTTTTCAACGCTCAGCTGTCCCCTTATTAGCTCAGGTTTGCTGCGGTTTAGGGCAACGCATATTACGGTGGGTGGGCTTGTAGTCCTCCGTTACGCCTTTCGATTGGCCGGTACTGGTGGGTCCGGTGACGGGCTTCCATTGCGATTGGATAACGGCTCCTCCCCACGCCCACTTCACTGTCAATCACACCACCCTTAACCCACCGGACCTTTCGTCAGTGTATCCGGAGGGCAAGTTGTTTGGGCGGTAGAAAGCCTTTTCTCCCGGTCTTTTTCCGTCACCATGGAGATTGCTCCGCCCTGCAATGCTGTGCTTGGGCCAGGCAGCCCCTTTCTCAAAGTCCTGTACACCCTTCTAGACATCAGTACCTGTTAATCTGGCCCGATTAACATCTCAGTCTCCACACCACTGGCTTAGTGGGGTGCAAGTCGGCCCAGGCCCACTCATTATTAAGGGCTCTTAACAATCCTATTGGAGGAAACTGAGTCCAAAGCACCAGCTCTAACATCACGTTTCCTTTATCCCTACCTCGCCTCATTTTATTTGTTGTTATTCTTCTCTTAGCTTGCAAAGTAGACAGAAGCAAGGATTATTCTACCCAATGCAGCTCCTGAATCACAGCTTTATGGATGAAGTGGAAGAGGGTTGAATTTCATTGGCTGCAGGCATCAAGTTATTCTACTCCCAAGTCTTCATTTGCAGTCCCACAAACCAACGATTTCTTTTGTGTTTAACAACTTAACCTCGAGGCCCAGTGAGGAGCTGTGTGGTTAAGAAAGCCAGTATTTTGATTAATTCATTTCATCAAAATTGCATGTTAACTGTAACTGTTTGAGAGACTGTGAGGAAGCACAAGAAATATGATATGACTCCTGTCTTAACGAGCTTCGAGTGGTTTTATAATGTTAGGTCAACAGCACAGGAAGCAACTAGAATTGATTGGGGGGGGGCACCAGGGATTGAACTCTGGTCCTTGCCCTTGCAAGGCAAGCGCCGGAACCACTGAGCTAAATCCCCAGCCCTCAAATTGATCTTTAAAGCAAGATCTAACAATGGACTTGAACTAATTTGTAGTTGAGCATTCCAAAAGATAATAATACTTAACATTTGGGAACACCTTAGAGTTTTCAGAGCACTTTCTCTCCTGTACTGCTTCACAGACTATTGTTTTGGCTGGAGCCAATGTGGATGTCTCAGGTAAAGCAAGAAGAATGCTGGGCTCTAGCATATGCATAAGAATGGGAAGAGTGGGACAGAGATGCGAGGGAATCCAGGGAGAGAATATTGAACAAAGGCTAAGACAAAAATGAGCAAAGACGTGCAGAATAATGTGGAGACAAGTAGTGAACAATAACTGTATTGCCCAACTGGTCAGAATCCATTTTCAGCTCTTAATGTTTTGGGAGAAAGTGGGCAAAAGTTTAAGATTGAGAAAGTTAAACTCTACACTTCTAATGATCAAACTGGTTTTAGTTAATTTATAAATTTAAAATGAGCATGAATGAGAATGCATGCCCAACTTGTTACATCTTCCATGTAATGTTTCTAAGTTTTCTCTCCCATAAAAAGCGCTTCTTGAAAAAAAAAAGAAGGGACTCTTCTTTCAAGCTCTTCCTCTCCAACCTTACCACTTAATGGGGAGAGGGAACTAGTTTCTGGCTAAATGATACAAGAGAGCATCGTGCTGCCCCCACAGTGTTGTGTCCTCTGACATCTGGGAATCACAGTTGTGTGTGCACTCAGAGGAAACTGGTTACCTGGCCATCCAATCTTTCTCCCTTGGAAAGTTGTTTTCTGTGTGACAAGTTTTATACAGTACTTTTCAATATTGCTCCCTATCTCTGCTGCATATGTACTTGTAGAATACACATAGGCGTCATACATGTATGTGCACGATTTTATTAAATTATAATTTTCTTCTAAACAAGCAATTCAACAAAAACAACATCAAGCTGAGTGTGGTGGTGAACACCTGTAATCTCCACACTCTGGGAGATTGAGACTTGAGGATGGTGAGTTTAAGCCCAACCTCGCCAACTTAATAACTTAGTTAGACCCTGTCTCAAATTTTTGAAAATAAATAAATAAAGGGCAAGGGATGTAGCTCAGTGCAGAGGCCCTGGGTTCAATCTCCAGTACCATGGGGCAGGGACAAGAGAGAACACCAAAAAGCGATGTTTTATTTCCTCTTCACAAAGGTATAGATAGAACCATGTGTTATTTCGTCTGACAAAGGGAGGGAAGTAAAAAGAGGTCATTAGGTTATGGAATGCATGGAATGGTTTCAAGAGATGATGTAAAGTTTTCTTGCTCATTTTATAGTTATCAAAATGCAAGGCAGTCCTACATTTTAGGTATGCATTTTCTCATGTGGTTATTTTAGTACTTTGAAGGCCTAAAAATGTGCCAAAAACTAAAAATAATTGTTTTTAGCAGTTTCAAAAGTTACCATTGTTCCATTTGGCTAATTGGGAAACTGAGTAAGAAAAATTTTCCTGAGTGCCACTGTTAGTAGGTAAAGCCAGATTACAAACATTCTGAAGTCACCCAGTATTGGACCATGATTTTTCAGACCATATAATTTACCAGATGCTAGGAACCAGTCGTCAGTAAACTGGCCTGTGAGCCTCATCAGCCTGCCATCTACTTTTCATACAGCATGCCAGCTACAGACAATGTTTACATTTTAAATGGTTGGAGGAGAAAAATACTTTGTGGCATGTGAAGATTGCATGGAATTCAAGTTTCACTGTCTATAAGTGAAGTATTACTGTATCATAGTCATATTTGTTTATTTTTGTGTTGCGTTTGGCTGCTTTCTCTACCATAGCAGAATTGAGCAGTTGTCTCGGAAACCGTAGGTCCGTTGCCAAAAATATTTACTTCTGGAAATTAAGAAAAAGTTTTGATTCTTATAACCTTAGATATATCTAATGAATCAGGTCTGATAGATTGCTGGAACTGAAATAGACTTTGGAACTCATTCAGTGTTTATCTAGAAATCTCACGTTGATAGAGGCAAGCTACTTCTGGCCTAAAATCACACAACCAGAGGACAGAACTGGTAGGAGAAGTCCAGGCAGTGTTTTCTTGTGTAGCGTTTACCTTACATAGAATCAAGTAATCTTTATGTAGTCTGGAGGCAAGGAGAATCCCATGTCTCATTCACACTAATACAGTGCAGCGTATATCCCCAATTAGGGGGCACTTGCACATTCATAATTTACTTCAGCTATTTTGAGTTACCTTCTCTTTTCCATTTCTTGTACTTCTCAAAATGTATGTGGCTACTGTATTAGCTTTCTGTCATTGTAAAAAAAAAAAATCCAAGACAATAAATTTAAAAGATGAAAGGTTTATTTTGGCTCACAGTTGCAGAAGTTTCAGTCCAGATTGGTGGGTCTTACGTCTCTTGGGCTGTTGGAGAAGCAGCATATCATGGTGGGGAAATACGGTGGAGCAAAGCAGCTGACCTAATGGCGTCTGGGAAACAAACAGACCAGAAGAGGCCAGGCTGTCATATCCCCTGCTAGGCACACCTTGGGTGGTCTGGATTCCTTCCACTAGACCCCATCTCCTAAAAGTTTGGCCACCTCCCAATAATGTCATGGGCTGGGACTGAGCTTGCAACACAGAGGCTCTTAGGGAACACTTCTCCAAACCATAGTGTCCTTTATGAAAAACTTTCTTACTTTTACATCCTTTTGTTTGTTTATTTGTTTTTTGGTACTGGAGATCAAACTGATTCCTTGCACTTGCCTTGCAAGGCAGGCAGCAAAACCACTGAGCTACATCCCCCCCCCGCCCTACATCCTTTGTTTTTAAAAGGCCTCTGTCTTCCCTTTGTCTTTCAACAAATGAATTTGCAGGTGAGTGACTTTCTATTCCAGCTTGTGGTTGTTAAGGGGAAAGCACAGAGCACGTGGGTTTGTTCTGCAGTCTGCTGGATGGGCCATACGTGTGGAGAGGAGAGAGTGTCCACAAATCCAAAATGGTGAGGTTTAGTATATATGCGCATATATGGGCTTTTCTGAGGAAAGAATCCATAGCTTTTGTAAAATTTGTAAAAGAGTCCTTGATTCCAAGACTGAAAATTCTTACATGTAAAAGGAGATGTAGCTGAGGGAGAAAGCTGCTAAGATGTGTGGAAGAAGAGGCTGACCCGGGTCTCTGGGACTGTCGGGCCTTGGCTGACATCAAGGGATGCCCACTCACAGCCGCCACCCAACTTACACTCTCTCTGCCACTCAGAGGTTATAAAAATTCATCAGCCTCGCAGACCGACTGAACTCAGATGGTGATAAAATCCCAGTATAATTCTCTCCAAAGAGTGTTCTGATTAATAGAAACTGCAGAGGAACTAATTTTATGAAAATAGCAAATGGGATTGTTTCAGTTGAAGCAAGCTGGGAGAGCCAGTGCTGACGCCAAGCAGGAAGATGCAAACAATCCCATTGTGCAGCACTGACAGCTCCAATCTTGCTGCTTATTTATTAAATGTCTTTCCGCCGTAAATTATTAAGCCTGGGTTTGGAGAGATGTGGGAGCTGACAGAATAAGACAATAGAACGGAAAGCAAACCTGGATCCCTTCCTTCAGTATTATTGCAGTATTGTGTTTTGTGAAAAGCTTTTGCCCCGCTCTGAGTTGGAGAAGGGGGAGGATTCTCGCTCTCAGAAATGGAGGAGACAAGTAACATGCTTTTGATTTTTGAATTATTTGCTAGTTTTTACAAATCAGGATAGTTTTCAGAGAAAATTCAACCTGTTGGCTCAACAACTGAGTGGCAGAAATTTTGTCCATTATCCAAAAGAGCTGTTTTGCCCACACAAGAAAGAACTTGGTCTGCCTTAGCACTGTAAATATTAGATTAATATTTTAGGGTACAAAGCTTCCACACTGGGTTCATTTGGCTTTTGGGGTAGCCAGAAAAGCCTTTTCTGCTGGTAGGTAGCTGTACGGCATACTTCTTAAGGTGAAGAATAAGAAAAGGTGGTGGTCAGGCAGGAAGTTGAACTCTCATCCTCATATTCATTTGAAAAGCTGCAGTTTTGATAGAGAG